AATTCAAGCTAAATTAGAAAGAGTTCTAATTTGAGATACTACTTATAGTTAGTATCAAATGCCTACAACTTTAACCTATAAGGTCATATACAATAGAATTGATTAAAAACTAAAGGATAAAGGAGAGAAAATCAATTAAGAGTTAATTGGAGTGAAAACCTAATTAAGAGTTAATTAGGGACTTTATTACAATTAATGGTTAATAAAGGGGTTATATGTAATTATAAGATAATTGCAATTTGACCCGAACTACGATTAGAGTCTATAAAACTCTATAAATACCTATATGTAGAAGGTGGATATATGATATAACAACTCTCCTACTAGTACAAGAAGAATCACCCATCATTGTCTCTCTCTACTAGTTTATTAAAGGTTGAGGTAGATTCTTCTAGTTTATCAATTCGTGAGGATACCGATAGAGGCCAAACAATTGCGAAGCTTGGGGTAAAGATCAAATTCAAATTTAAAGGTTCAAAGTTGTTTGAGAAAGCTTGAAGATTGTTCAAAGTATGCTTTAAGAGGTAACCCTTAATCTTCACTATAGATATGAAGTTTCTCAATTTGTATTAAACATGAATAGATTTTGGAATGGGGAATCAAATTTTTAAATTCCATTGCGTTCTTTACATGATTCCTTTCACATAAGACCCAAGCTTGGGAGTTAATGTCTTTACCCCATGGCAAATGCACCAAGTGGGTTTATAAGATTGAAACAAAATCTGATCATTCTATGAAAAGGTACAAGACTCCAATTAGTAGCCAAAGAATTTGCTCAAGAATATGGGCTAGACTATGATAAGACTTCTGCCCCAGTTGCCAAGATAACCACTTTTTATCCTGTAATAGTTGTAGTTGTCATTCGTCCATGGAACTTATCGTAACTAGATGTGAAAAATAATTTTCTTTATGGGGCCTTATTTGAAAAGGTTATTATGGGCTCCTCCTAGATTGTCTCATAGATTCAGTCAAGTATGTAGACTTCACAAGGCTTTATATGGCCTTAAATAGACTCCCAGTCACGGTTAGCTAATTGTCTTTAGTGATCTTTGACTTAGTTTCCCTATTAGTGATCATGATTATGCTATCTTTCTATGATCCACTTCCTATGGCTCTATTATTCTCTCTCTTTATATGGATGATATGATCATTACAGATGACACTATTGAAATAAGACTATTGAAAAATTAGTTGTCGGATCATTTTTCAGACGAAGGATATGGGTCAACTCCAATATTTCTTGGAATTGAAGTTGCTTCTTCTTCCAAAGATTATCTCCTCTCTCAATCCAAGTATGCATTCGATGTTATTTAGTGAGCTCATTTATCAGTTAATCGGATAGTTGAGACACCCTCAGAGCTCAATCCTTGTTAATTTTCCTCTGATGCTACTTTCTTGTCAGATCATACCCTCTTGTGCACTATTGTTGGAATTCTATTATATCTAATAATTAACTACCTAGATATTTTTTATGTTGTTTACATTGTTAGTAAGTTTGTCACATCACCTACCACTATTCAATGGACTATTGTTCTTCGCATTCTTCGGTTTCTTCGCGATACTCTACATTATAGTCTATTATTTCCTCCCTGCATTTTTATGGAACTTAGGGTTTACTTAGATACCGACTGGACTAGCGACTCCATAGGTAGCAATTCCACCACTAGTGTATGTCTTTTTCTTCGTGATTCTTTTATTTATTGGAAAAGCAAGGGGTAAACTATTGTTACTTATTCTTCTGATGAAGCTGATACCGTGCTATGGCATCTACTACAACTAAGGCAGTCTGGCTACAATTGCTACTTGTTGTTCTTGACATTTCACTATCTGTTCCTCCCCTATATATTGTGACAGCACCAATGCTCTTTAGATTGTTTACAACTTGGTCTTCCATGAGCATACAAATCACATTGAGATCGATTGCCACTTTGTGTGTCATCATCTTAGCTGGGTACCATCACTCTCCCATTTCTTCTTTCCATTGTGTAGTTAGTGGATTTCTTTACGAAATTTCACATCATAGTTTTTATTTCCTTTTCGGCAAACTCTTGATGTTTTCTACCACATGAGTTTAAGGAAGTTTGTTAAAGTATTAAAATTAGGGGTAATTTAATTGTTTCCTTTATTCTATGTTGCTCTACTGTATGAGTTGGGTATTTTAGGTTATGTTGTTGCACATACTCATTGTGTCTTAATAATATTCTCTCTTCTTTTATTTTCTCTTCGCTTTCTTTTTGTCTCTTTGATAAATGTTTTACAACAAAAATCACTGGGGCGGGGGAGAGAGAGAGAGAGACATAGACAAAGAAATCTACTCAAATGTCTTTAAAAGTGTAGTTATCTCTTATGGGATATGGCTTCATGATGCTTCATTTAGTATGGGGTTTTGTAAGCCATACACTTGAAGAATGAAAAGGAGAGTAAAAGGGGGGACTAAAGTGGAAACTAACACTAAGGACATTTAATATCTGATAATTAATAAGGGATTTAGTGCCAAATTATACTAACAATAACGGATAACTCCCAAAAGATTGGACAATCTACATTGGCATCCCTTGTAGTTTATAAAATTTCAAGGGATACCCTCCTTATTTATGAAACAACATATTTCTTTAAGTTGGGTTCTTAAAGTCAACCAAGGTCCAAGAGGCCAAGACTCCAAAGGTTTGAGGTCAATATGCATAAGGTAAGTCAAGATGAGTGCATCCCAAGTCCATTTACTTGTCCCACACAAAAATATTGGGGTCGTAGATGCCAAAGCGCCCCACAAACCGAGGTCTCACAACCGAAAACATGGTGGATTTGCAAACCAGATTACCCAAATTCTCTACTCCAATTATAATAAAACCCAAATCCGCAAACAATCCCGTTAATCACAAATTTTAACTATAACCCAAAGTTGAAACCTAACTAGTTATTTCTCAGTTTTGGAGATTCTTAAACATAATATTTTGATTTGTTATAAATGAATTTTCTAACAACAATCAGTGTTGTGAATAGCGAGCCTAGGCAAGAAGCGAAGCGTAGCAAGTCTTAGTCACCTTGAATATCCCGAGCAAAACGAGTCTAGCAACGAAGGAAGCAAAGAAGTAAGCCTCGCGAAAAAAGCAAACGTCTAGCAATTCTTTTATTTTCTCCTCTCCCTTCCCCCTACCCCACCCCACCCTCTCCTCTCCTCTCCTCTCCTCTCCTCAAATCCTCCTTTTTCTTCCTTAACATTAATCAAACCCAAGCACAAATGATGTTATATGTGTATATATATAAAATAATTTGATTAATTCATCTAACAGTATCATATGACAATCTGTCTTATTATGATTAGATGATGTTAAATACTTCGTTTTGATGTGAATGCTCTTGTTAATCAATTTGTTTGGTTAATCAAATTAATTAATCAAATTTGATATATGATCTATTTGATTAATCAATTTGTGAGTGCCCTGTTTAGTGGTGATATTAATCAATCACAGTGGAAGTCGAACCCACATTTGCTAGCTTTACATTTAGATGATGTGATTATGTCAAGTGATTATTTTTAGAATGCAATAATGTTCAATATTAAATATCTTGTTTATTTAAAATATGTTGATGGTTATTATTTTGGTTGCATTTAAATATTTTGTATTTGTAAAGTTAAAACTTGAATATTTAAGAGTAATCAAAGTATCAAACTAAAATATTTGTTTATTTTTTATATTGTTCGTTTTGCTTCGATGAAGCTCTCGCTTCGCTTCTCGCCTAAACCCTCAGGAGACCTGTTTACTTCGATTCACTTTACGTCTTAAATAACACTGATAACACTAATATGCAACCACTAGCTTTTATTATCTCCAACCATTAGCTGATTCAATATGGTTCGCTTTGGAAATCTTATCAAAACATATAACATATATATTTGTTACCTACGTGTATATGGATGTACAAATTTATATGATTTGATATGAGATTGAAAACAATCTAGATAAGCGTTATGAAGCGAACAACGACTCAAAAAGTGTATCAACTAAGTCTATTCCCATTGCACCATGTACAAAACAATAATTGTACAGTATACTCGTACCCATACTCATCCTCGAACCACATACCAGATGGACCTATGATCTAAGTAACGTTGGTCCCACATAGCTTGTAAAGTGTGAGTGATGTGCTTTATATTTATAAGTAATAGTTGTGGATCTTCATTGTACGTCACATTTTAAAGTTGCACAAGTCTAATCCAAAACACACTGAATTGTACAAGATGGGTTTAGAGTGTTATAGTTGTTGCTAGAGTTAACATTAATCATAAATGTGGAATGGTTCCACACATGGACAAGAGGCTCTAATAGGGTGGATCGTGATGACCCAAGAGCCAAGACTCCTAAGGCTTGAGGTCAAGATGAGAGAGGTGAGGAGAGGGTGCCAAGTACATGCAACTCGTCCTGCATTGGTAGTAGAAGTGTGTGTGACCCTGTGAGGTACTTTATAAGTGTGTATGAGGTGCTTAACAAGTGTGAGTTTTGGATCTTCATTATACAAATATGATTTAAAGTCGTGCAGACCTAGCCCAAGGTAGACAATATTGTATTAAATGGATTTGGGTGTTATAATTTTGGTTTCAAAGGATACCCCTGCCGTGAACGACTGTCAAAGATGATACAAAAGGGATGATGTCTGCAAAATGTTGCCTTACAATACCAAATTTACACCCATTCACATATATTTAGTATCAAAAAAATATATCCCATATGCCAAAATGCACCAAAAAACCATGATAATTTATTCCATGATATTACATGCTTATTTTGACCCATATTATATCCTTTGGAATATAATAACACCCAACAGTAAGAACATATTACACATTTGGGCTTTACTCAGTGGTATAAATATTACTTCCATAATCACAAAAACTTGGAGCAACAAAAATAATTTCAAGGAGTATATACTCTTTTGATGCTTGCGTATCAAACACACATTCTAGACAAGTATGTACCCATATAAACATGCATGTCCAAGAACTATAGAAGAAAACTTAAGGCAAGGGGAAAAAATGATTGTACCAGGACAGCCAAAACTTGCATTCCTGCAGACCGTAAACGTAATGCTCTTTCATCATCTCCAACTTCTTGGGCGAGTTGACACAGTTTAGGAATGAGCCCTTCCAAGTTGAACATGTATGTACTATCAATCTGCTTTCAATAATAAAAAGGATAATTTCAGAACATGGTAACCCAATATGCAAAAGTCGTTGGTCTGTGGCCTGTTCTGATGCAATTTAATTCCTGTATTTTGATGATTACCATACACTTGGCAAACATACAGACTCAGTTGAACCTTCCACTGAAAGATTGCTTAAGTTTACCCACAAGCCAGCTCAAATTCATTGGGCCATGTATGAATCTATAAAGAGTTATTTTTTAACCATATTTCTCACGATCCGATGTCTTATTCTACTCAATAAAATGTAGCATGTACCTGGCTATTTATAAAGTCAACAAGAGTATTGCATCCCAGAATCTGCAATTCGTATAGGCGTGTTTGTTCTAATAGTGTCCGAACAATCCCCAATAGACTATTAGCAAAAAGTGACCTGAAAATTATGCATGTTATTTCCTTCTCGAAAAAACAAGGAAAGAAAAACAAAATGAAAGTGAGACTTCCATTCTGCATCTTAGTTTAATAATGTAAGACTCCATAGGACTAATAGAATATCTACCAGAGACTGGCACCGCATGATCAGCACATGAATCTTCCATCCAGATTCATCCCTCTATTCCTAGACCTAGTAATACCCAAAAAATAGCATGTTGACATATATTCATATGCCTCCATTCCAAATACTGGTTTGTTCTCTGTTCTTCAGTCTCTAGCAAATATTTTCCACATTAATTGCCTCATTTAACAATTGGTAAATTACATGACAACCCTTTAATTTTGATGAAGTACTATAGAGATCTCTAACATTTGAAAAATGACATCTAGACTCCTGACTTTTGATTGCTATAACAGACTCACGTTCCAATCGATATCATCAAAGTTAAAAATTTTTAGCTTGTTTAATATAAAATAAGCTAAAATTAAATGATAAGAGAGAGAGAAAGAGAGAGAAAGAAAAAAAGGGATCCTAATTATTAGATATATGAGTACCCAATTAGCTCCATGATTGACTTATTTGAACTTACATCTGCTCCTTACATGAAGATAGCAATTTTCGATAAATGAGCAGCACGACTTTTACAGAGCCAAAGTGCTCATTCCGCAAATCCTTGTAAAATCTCTGCTCCAGATATTCAGTAATCTGTATAGGATAAAACAATTAGCTACCTGAGATGAAACACAAGGGTATTGAAATCAGGTTATAAATTTTGACAACGTTTTAGAGATTCTAAAAAGATCTAGTGTGTAGGAAATATTAAAAAAAAAAAAAATTTAAGAGATTTGTTGTCACCTTCACAAATTTCAACCAATTTCAACATTTTTTTCAAATCCAATTTCCCATATCTTAACGGGGCTTTGGAGTAATAGATCATTTAACTACACACAATGGCATCAAGACTACATGCTCATAGATAAGTGCTTCAAGATATGCCTTTCCTATATCAAAAACATGGACTACAAGCATTTGTATCAGCTGATAACTTTTATAGAATTTGCCGTTAATGATTAACAGAACTTTAAGCCACATATGTTGACACAAATAGATCTCTGTTAGGATTAACTCCCTACTACAGATGATATTACCGTGTAACTGTTAGATAGCTATACGAGGACATCAATGACAATATAAAATTAAGGAAGTTTGAAAGCACTCCAGCCAAGATTCAGAAGGAATGCCAGCAATTGAAGCATAACATGCACCAATTTTGATACTAGTGGCCACACAAGTGAAAAGGAAAATGAATTCCACCTTAGGTATACGCAAAGGATTTTTAGAAGCATATTCACAAAGCTTCCCAATCTTCCGATCATTTGGTTCCGCATCCTGCAGAAGTATAATTGGATCAAGGTACAAATCAGAACCCACCAAGCGGCCTTTGACATATAATGATCACAAAGAAAAATTATTACTGTTTATTCCTTACTGTGAAAAAATGATGAATCTCATTGACACACTGAGTTTAAGTTTAAGAAATTCCATTACAATGACACCTTTATGATAGACCAAAAACCACTATAACATACAGGAAAACCCTCTGGATCAGGATTCGCTTGTGTATACTTCCAAAATGTGAAAAAAGCATTGACATATTTTGAAAACATCACTAGGCAAATATTTAATCATTGTGAATGAAAAACATATGTTAAACTAAGCTACAGACCAGATCAACAGTTCATAAGTACTCGACAATCAGATAGTACTTATCCTAACTCAGCATAGCAAAACTCAGAAGTCCACCCATTTTCTCTAAATGCAAATAAATAACCAATCAGGTTACCCTAGAAAGGACAAATATAAGTAATAAAGCTACAAAGTAAGGCAAAAATTCACCTGAGACCGGGGAAATATTTCGGCAAGGAACTTCTTATATCGTTTTACAGGCTGTCTGGACCTTGCCCGCATCGAAGGACAGAAGAAACAGATGTTACCACAGACGGGTACAACCCGTCTTGACATAACGCCCATTTTCCAAGGAAATCCAAGCCCCTCCTCTTCAATCCCAATCAAAGTTCAGATCAGTATTCAAACCAAACCCACATTAACCTTAATAATTCACAAAACTTGTAAATTTCAAAATTTTATTATCCAGGCGGATCAGCAAAATTCAAGCATTGTGAGCAACACACATTGACCCGATTAACCATGAACAAAGTTATTCACCAAAACTTTCCACGAAATACATTTTCCAACCGATTTCATGAATAGAGTTGGACAATAATCTCATTCGCACCACCAGAAAAAAAAACAGAACATAACCAATTGACCAGTTAAAATAACTGACAGAATTTATCAGAAAAATGAGTTTTCGAGGTCATTTCACAAATTGGGTACAAGAAAATTCTCAAAACCCCAAATAAAAAATTGCGAATTCTAAGGTCGGTGATAAGATCAACAAAATAGATGGTGGCTTCAAAACTAAAACAAAACTGTTCAAAAATTAAAGAATACCCACCAATCCAAATTATGGAAATTCAACTCTTTGACATAATCCAGCTCTTGCGATCTCGATCTGGACCAGCCTTCACGCAACCCCAAAAACTGTTGAAACTTTCCAGTATATAATAAAGAAAAAATTTGAAAATTTTCCAAATAAAGCTACATAAAACCACCAATAATTGCAATATTGTAACATATTGGCTGTGAGATAATTCAAATTTTGAATGAATTACAATAAAATTTGAACTACAATACCTCAACGGGGAGGCAGAGGCTTGAAATCCTGCCCTCCTTCTCTGTCTCTGACTCTATCTCTCTCTCTATGTGTGTCTTCTGACCATTAATTTGAGCAAAAATTGGTTAAATTACAACTTTATTTGACGAAATTATAATATCATAAATTTTCTAGCTGTGACCCCACGAATCGCATGTGTGAATTGATTGTAGATTTCAATGGTGAAACAAATGGTTGTGGAGTATTATGAATTTTTTCACGTTGTTGAGGGTGACTCACCTAATCAATGCTAAAAGCCCCAGCGTTCCGGGAATTAAGGGTTTGTACTTTTCTTTTTTTTGTCACCGGTTGACAGAATTGTCCCTCTCGTCTTTTTTTTTTTTTTTTTTTTTTTTGACTTTTGCATTCCTCAATTGATTTTCTATTTTTCGCCGGATTTTAATTATCGATTACGGTGTTTTTTATGCCATTGTTGAGATAATGACACCTTCCGGGCAGAACTTGGGATGTGTTAAACAAGAAATGAGGTTAAGAAGAGCCGAATGTATATCTAACATATTCCCTCTTGTGTCTAAGTCATGGGAGGATCTGAATACTACCGTAGAAACTAAGTTACTGTATCAACATGAGATTCAACCTGTTGAGTTATTTATAAACATGGAGTCCACGGGCACACCAAGCTGTTTGACCTGACATCCATGAGGATGACATGTCAGTGGCTACTACTGCCCTCAAGTTGGCCCCTTTTATAGGCCTAGGGGAGTCTGAGGGTCACTTGGGGGGTTTAAACATTGCAATTATTACCTTGTTCTATAGGCCAACCATTTAATAAGCAATATTCGGACATTTATTGTTCTCTATCATGCATTTTAATGAGTAGTGCCAAAACATTTAAATGGTGCACACTGAGCATTAACTAATACCCCTCCTAATTGGTCCACATCAGCAATTATCATGTCTTTAATCGACAATTTTGATATTCGAAGAGGGTCCTCACGTTAATGTGATAGTGCAACTAATCATTTTTTATTATCTGTCATGTCAGTGAGCCCTGCATGTCAAATTAGGGAAAGTCTACGGTACTATTTTCGGTATCGTACCGTCACTTACAATTTTTATGGTAAAGTTACAATTCAAAAAAGAGAAATTACAATTGTTTAGAGGAAGTCCATAATCGATCAAGGGGACTATGATTGATCACAGATACATATGATCGATCATGGACTTCCCCTAAGCAGTTGTAACTTCTCCTTTATTAGTTATAATTTGATATTTAAAAGTTGTAACTTACATCTCAAAAAAATTATAACATAACCTTAAATGATTGTAAGTTGCGATACAGTACCTCTTTTGGTATCATAGTCTTTCCTGTCAAATTATTATTATTATTCTAGCCTAGGCAAGATGCCCCCTCCCCCCTCAAGGAGAGATCTTGCATTTCCCAAGTACAAGGGGGCTCGAGTCTTCCTCAGTGTGGTCCACTTGGGGGGTTGAAAACTCTTGGTGGGAACCAATTCTATCCAAGTGTTATCCAATGATAAGCATATCAATTTATTCTTGTTAATTTATGTAATTAATACTACACAATTTAACATCGTCAAAACAAACAAAATTAAAATTAAGCAGTTTTAAAACCTTTTAAATACTACATAGGAAACCTTCATGTAAACTAAAGCACCTTGTAGGATAAAATTCCCTATGCACTAAAATTCTTGAGGCTAACTCTAGAAGAAGATTAGAAGCCACAACCTCTCTCTTGGTATGCATTTATTATTTTTTCAAGCTTTTAACAATTACTAATATGATTAGCTCATCAAGTGAAAACATTCCAATTATATCAAAGAGAGAATCATTTCTCCTTCAATGTGATACTATACATATGACTACAAAGATACATGAGAAGTAAAGTATTTCCACAAGAGGGATATGTAAGTCATTTTGAGAAAGATATACCCAATTAATCAAAGCTTGAAAAGTTTGGTCAGTTGTGTTGTACCCTCCACATTGTTTGACTAATAAATATTGGTGGTATTGAGAGTCCAGTTAGTTTGGCTCTATCTTCCATATAAGATACAGACAGCAAAGAAGCATATGTTTCTTGATTTGTCAGCCTTTTTTGAGTTCATGAATTGTTGGGTTAATTACACTTCTTCCCTTGAAATTATGAGATTGGTGTCACTTTGCTCCTTTAACTATTGAAGTCTGACATTTCCCCCCTCAACTATGACTTTTCACTACAAATTTGATGAAAAGTTATTTCATTTTGCTTACATCAAAACTATGTGATTTTGTTTTATTTTGTTGTGACACATTAACATTTTGTGTCCAAAAGATATGAGACATTCACGTTTAGGGCAATGTGAAACTATTTTAGACAGTTGAGAGGGCAGTGTAAAAAATTCAATAGTTAAGGAGTCAAAATAATGCAAACCTCATAGTTTGATGACATAGAGTGTAACTAAACTTTGTTTAACAAACATTTTGTTATTGACAAAGTGTATGTCATGGTTGAGTATTCAAAGTATTGTTATCCCATATACCAATAGAATAGTAAAGCTACGGTGACCACCATTCTACACCATCACCTGACGTGTCAAGATCCCCATTAGTATGTTATAGACACCACATTTCCTATCAACACCTTCACTACTTTAATGCATATCAAACTCATGCTTCATTCAAAGTTTAGCATATTGAAGTAAAAGTTAGACATTGTTTCAAAGAATACGATATGCCAAAATCAATGCTATATTTTATATAACATTGCAGCCAACAAAAATACAAAACACGTAACTATGTCTGCTGTTGTTCAATCATCTTTGTGCAATCTTGGATTTTTAACTTCCACCATGTTATTGATCCCAAGTATTCGACCGGAACTGGTGGGACCATTGGGATGCATATCTAGCATATTACAAAATCCCCTCCAAGATTGTTGATGATGCTCCTAAGGAAAAGTGAAATGAGTATATACATTGTAATGCCTAATTTTTTTTATTGAAGTATGTTGATTATGCACTTACATACAATGTCAATGAAAGTATTCTAATAAATAAATTATTATAACCAATGTGTATATATTAATCACAAAAAAAAATAATTTGAACTAAATCAACAAAAACTTGGATTACCTGCTTACAAAATTGATGGATCAATGTTGTTGGCAAGTTAAATATTGACTAATTTGGTCTGTTGGCCGGTTGGACATGAACAAATTTGAAGATTTATAAAAAGTGGACCTTCATTTTAGATGGGGCCTAAAGCGATTACTTTTTCGGCCTAGTTATTGGGCCGGCCCTGAATATGAAATGAAGGTATTAGCTGGTGGTAGGGGTGTCAAACGTGTTGGGTTAAACGGGTGACGAGTGAAAAATAGATAAAGTTATACACGACACGTTGAATAAACAGGCAAAAAATCTAAACACAAATACAAACCATTTAATAACCGGGTAACACGACATGACTCGTTTAACCCATTTAATTTTATTAAAATTATTCTATTAAAATTTTAACTCACAACAACAAACTATCCTATTAAAATTTTAAACTCCATTAATTACCCACACCAATTGTATTGTCTTAATAAAAAAAATTTCTGTTGACAATCACTTGCAAAGGCAAATGAAAAGGTTTAATAACTAAAGGAAGTGGGCTGCATCTTTTTATAGGCATGAGAGGTCTCCTTCATTTGAATTTGTCAATGTGGGATTCAAGACAAAAGCTTTTACTGTGTGTTCACTATGCAAATCCAGTTGTACTCCTTGAAGTAATTCACCCAAAGGCATTCAAGTACGATTAAGGTACATATCTTAGCTTATTTTCTTCTCTTCTGTGACTTCTTCGTCAACTGCAATCGAATCCCACCCTATTGGATCTGGTTTCACTACATATCTTTAGTGAAATACCCATATGAAGCTGTGTTATTGAACGAATTTGAAGACCCAGTAAAGTGTTTCATAAGAGGAGTTCAGATCTTCGACAACACGCCATTTGGAGCAATTCCCACGCCATTGAAGGTGTAGCTTCTGAGCAGTATTAGTAGTACTCTGGGAATGAACATTACGACCACGACATGTGTGGCCACCGGAACGAATATATTGCAGCAGCCAGTGTTGTTTTTTTTTTTTTAAATCAAGGATCAAACCAACCCAAATATAATTATCAAGCAGCACCACAATCACAAGAAAAAACATCATGAAGCAAAATCAAGCTTCAAGAAGAAAAATGGGAATTCAAACTCATTATAGTTTAACCCTTGGGTATCCAAATCTCATATCAACTCGTTTGAAGAAAAATTAAGATAGTTGATAACAAGAAAT